TCTCATTGCAGTCAGTTCCTTTGTTGTTTCATTTGCCAATCTGTAGGTGTCATTGATGAGGCGCAGAAGTGCATAACGGGTGATCTTGGCATGTTGTTGAACTTCTGCAGTTCCCACCCATGCGAATAGGCCTTGAAAGACTTTTTCACCTCCATTCCAGATTCTGTATTCTCATGGGGTGCCGGTGCTGGTGGTGAGGCCTCCCCCATCGGTGCACTTTGGGCATCAGTGAACGTTTCTTCCTGGTCAGTGGTGTAGAGGCTTTTCTGAGGAGCATCACGGGGCTAGATAGGGGGACCAAAGCACAAAGGCCCCCCCAGTGTGGTGGTAGTGCAGTGTAAGCTCTGTGGCCACACAGGAAGTACCAGTCAGCCTGAATTCTGGAGCCTCTGTCTCTTGGCACAGTGGCACTGCAGCCAGTGGTGTTTTGACGTCCTTTTGTCTGTTGGCTGATCAGAGTCAGAGTCAGAGTTTCTTTATTGTCATTCGCACCTCATGTGGTACATGTGGTGGAGCGAAATTATGTACACAAGGTCCCAGTTACATCCAACAATAAAATGTATAAGAAAAACAGTAATAACATCTAAGATATGAACTAAGAAAAACATCAACTAAATATACACTAAGCACTCATAACATAAAACATTGAACATCAGCACAAACATGAACATGAGTCTGTGAGCAGATGTGCACGCATGAACACATCAACATTGAAACAGATCAGCAGCAACATGAAACAGATCAGCAGCAACATGATATGGTTTTTCACAGTGATTATTCTGGTTAGAGATTCATGAGTCTAACAGCCTCAGGGTAGAAGCTGTTCCTCAGTCTAGTGGTTCTACACTTAATGCTCCTCAACCTCCTTCCTGAGGGGAGTGGGGCAAAAAGTGTGTGTGCTGGGTGAGTGGGGTCCTTCATGATGCAGGTGGCCCTCTTCCTGCATCTGGAGGTGTAGATGTCTGTGATGGTGGGGAGACTGATTCCAACAGATTTCTGTGCAGCCTTCACCACTCTCTACAAAGCTTTTCTTTCTGCAGCTGTGCAGCCTCCGTGCCACACGTTGATGCTGGAGCACAGGATGCTCTCCACTGCACACCTGTAGAAGGAGGTGAGGACTGAGCTTCCCAGACCAGCTCGTCTCAGCCGTCTGAGGAAGTAGAGTCTCTGATGAGCTTTCTTCATCAGGCTGGTGGTGTTGTTGCTCCAGCTGAGGTTGTCATTCATGTGTACACCCAAGTACTTGTAGCTGGAGACCACTTCTACCGCAGATCCTCTTATGTTCAGGGGGGTGTAGGTGTTTTTGTTCCTTCTGAAGTCCACAATCATCTCCTTTGTCTTCTTCACATTGATGTGAAGGTTATTCTCTCTGCACCAGCTCTCCAGGTGTTCCACCTCTTGCCTGTAGCTGGACTCATCATTGTTTGTGATGCATCCCACCACCGCTGTATCATCTGCAAACTTTACAATGTGACAGCCTGGATGGGTAGCTGCACAATCATACGTGAGCAGAGTAAACAGGAGGGGGCTCAACACACATCCCTGAGGAGAGCCAGTGCTGAGGGTTATGGTGGAGGAGGAGAGGTTGTGGATCCTCACTAACTGTGGTCTGTTTGTTAAAAAGTCTAGTACCCAGTTGCAGATGGAGGGGCTTAGTCCTAGTGTGGATAGTTTGTCCATCAGGGTTTGGGGGATCATGGTGTTGAAGGCGGATGTGAAGTCCACAAAGAGCATACGGACGTAAGAGTTTTTCTGCTCCAGGTGGTTGAGCGCAGTGTGGACCACAGAGGAGATTGCATCCTCTGTTGATCGGTTCTCACGGTATGCATACTGATGAGGGTCCTCGTTGATGTTGATGGTTGTTTTGATGTGAGTCATGACCAGTTTTTCAAAGCATTTAGCGACTATCGGGGTGAGGGCCACTGGCCGATAGTCATTCAGACCAGTCACTGTAGAGCTTTTTGGGACTGGGATGATGGTGGCAGTCTACAGGCAGGTGGGAACTGTCTCCAGGGTAAGTGAGGTGTTAAAGATGTCTGCCAGCACCTCACAGAGCTGATCAGCACATTCATTCAACACTTTTCCGGGGGTGTTGTCTGGGCCAGTTGCTTTGTGCGGATTAATCCTCCTGAAGGTACTCCTTACTTCTGCTGAGGTCACGCTGAGATGCTCTTCGTCCGGTGGCGAGGTGAGTCTGGTGCTGGGTGGTCTGTTCGGGTCTTCAAAGTGTGCATAGAACTTATTGAGGGCATCAGGCAGAGATGGGTCTTTGGGGCATTGTTCACTCCTTCCTTTATAATCTGTTATGCACTTAATGCCCCTCCACATGCTCCGAGGGTCTTGTGAGATGAATTGACCCTCGATCCTCTTTGCATATGTGCATATGTGTGCTGATGTTGAAAATGTGGCGTTGGAGATGTCGTCCGTATTTCGGGTCCTGGTATGGGGTACAGTCGCCGGTGGTGTTTTTGCTTGTCACACAAGAAAAACATTTTAAAAACTTGCAGTCCAGATCTTTCACCTATAGAGAACATTTGGCGCATCATAAAGAGGAAGGTGCGACAAAGAAGGCCCAAGACGATTGAACAGTTAGAGGCCTGTATTAGACATGAATGGGAGAGCATTCCTATTTCTAAACTTGAGAAACTGGTCTCCTCTGTCCCCAGACGTCTGTTGAGTGTTGTAAGAAGAAGGGGGGATGCCACACAGTGGTAAAAATGGACTTGTCCCAACTTTTTTGGGATTTGTTGACGCCATGAAATTTGGAAACGACAGATTTTTCATTTACCCTCTTTTTTCCTGCCAACACGAGTTTTAAAAACTCATCCAGAGAGAGGGCGCTCTACTGTTCTCCTTCCAAAAAAACAAAACATTACGACAAAGTTTTGTTTTTACTTACTCCTGCTCCTTGTGGCTCGGTATGGGCTCTGACTCCATCAATCCACCGCTGATGGACGAAGGCAGACCTATAATCATGGGCCCAGTGAGGAACAATACCTCCCGGGGCTTTCCTTTCAGGTCGCTAGGTGACCCGCCGTGCACGGTTTTAGTGTGTCCCTCCTCAGCCCAATCAGCGAACAGATATGTTGGAAATCCGGGTCGCGGCACCAAGAAATGTTGGGTATTTTCTCTCGTACCCAACAGAAAAAGAACCACACAGGACAGAGTAAGATTTTTGGCCAACACTCCTTGCAAGGTGGGAAATCCACCTCTGGTCTGAAACCAGAGGTGAACTCCAAAGCCTTGCTTTTAGAACTGACTTTTATTTGGTAAGAGTGACACATAAGTGTTTGGCTTGGAAACACTCTTTGATCAGAACAAAACATCTTGTACAGGTTCAGTTGATTAAATGCTTACTGTAATGAGTTTCTGATACCATCTGTATCAGTTGATATCATCTGTATCAGTTTAAGGGTGAGGAGAAAAATAATGACAGTGCAAGATAGCTGGAATACTAGTTGATATGTTTAAACTTTGACATGTTTGGTTTTTAACAAACAGTTCTAAGTTAAAACAGCTTATGTAAATACAGAGAATTACTATCAGCTTGGACGTGGACTGATAGTTCCAGAAACTTTTTTGCTTTGTATGCATAGAAGTCGGAATCAGAATCATAATGCCTTTATTGCCATTATACTCAAATACAATGAAATTAAGAGCCACTCCTTTTTTTCAGTACAAAAACACGCTTAAGAAAAACACACACTAAAAATATAAAAAATGTAACGCAATATAGATATAATAGCTCTATGAAAGTAAAAAATACAAGTATTTCACAATTATATTGCACATTATGGATATTATGTGAGGTAGTTAAGGTGACTGAGAGTATGAAATGTCAGTAGTATTGTACAATAGAAGTCCAGGGGTTTGGGAGGTTAGATTATTATATCAGTGCATGTGTGAGTTCAGTGTGGTGATGGCTTTTGGGAAAAAACTGTTCTTGAATCTGTTTGTTCTTGTTCTGATGCACCTGTAGCGCTTCCCTGAAGGTAGCAAGTGAAACAGTTCAAAACCCAGGTGTGAACAGTCCTTGATTATGCTTTCTGCTCTGTTGAGGCAGCGTGATGTGTAAATGTCCATCAGGGAGGGGAGAGGGCAGCCAATTATCTTTTGTGCTGTCTTGACTACTCTCTGAAGCCTCTCCCTGTCAGCCAGGGTGCAGCTGCCGTACCATACTGAGATACAGTATGTCAGCAGGCTCTCGATGGACGAGCAGTAGAAGGTCAACAGCAATTTGGTGTTCAGGTTATGCTTCTTAAGTACTCTTAAGAAGTGTAATCTCTGCTGAGCCTTCTTGATGACCGCTGTGGTGTTCTCTTTCTAGTTAAGGTCAGCAGAGATATGGACACCAAGAAATCGGAAAGTGTGAACCCTCTCCACGCACTTGCCATTGATGTGCAGGGGGGCTAGGTTGGTGCTGTGCTTCCTGAAATCAATAATTACCTCCTTGGTTTTTTTTGATATTCAGAGCCAGATTTTTCTCTGAGCACCAGGTTGCTAGCTCCAGGACCTCCTGTCTGTAAAATGTCTCATCTCCCTTAGAGATTAGTCCGACCACTGTGGTGTCATCAGCGAACTTGACGATAAGGTTGTTGTTGTGGGCTGGGCTACAGTCATGGGTGTAGAGACAGTACAGCAGGGGGCTCAGCACACAGCCCTGTGGGGAGCCAGTGCTCAGCGTATGAGTGGAGGAGAGGTGGGGACCAAGTCTTACAGATTGGGGCCGATTGGTTAGGAAGTCTTTTATCCAGGCACATGTGAGAGGGGGAGGCCGAGATTGTCCAATATATTTATAAGAATGTCCGGAATGATTGTATTAAAGGCCGAGCTGTAATCCACAAAGAGCATTCGAACGTAGCTGTGCTGTTGTTCCAGGTGGCTCAGCGCGCTGTGGAGAGCAACTGCAATAGCATCCTCTGTGGACCTGTTGGTGCGATATGCAAACTGGTAGGGGTCAAAGTTCGGAAGGAGATAGTCCTTGATGTGCTGGAGAACCAGTCTCTCGAAGCACTTCATGATTACCGGAGTGAGAGCCACCGGTCGGTAATCATTTAGGCTGGTGATGGTAGGCGTTTTCGGCACTGGGATGATAGTTACAGATTTTAAGCATTTTAAGGTGATGAATGCTGAGCTGTAGTCTATGAAGAGCATTCTCACATAGGTGTTTTCCTTCTCCATGGTTGAGGGAGGTGTGAACTGCTAAAGCAATGGCATCATCTGTAGACCTGTTTGCTCTGTATGTGAACTGTAGGGGGTCCAGGGTGTCAGGGAGGGAGGCACAAATTTGAGTTTTGATAATTTGCTCAAAGCACTTCATGATGACAGAAGTGATATGGGCTGAAAGCCATTGAGGCAGGATGCTGCAGAGGTCTTTGGGATGGGGACAACAGTTGAGGTCTTGAAGATGGTGGGCACAATACACTGACTCAGAGACAGGTTAAAGATGTTGGTAACACCTTGGTGAGTTGGTCAGCGCACACTCTCAGCACTCATCCTAGGATGCCATCAGGCTCTGGTGCCTTGTGAGGGTTTACCTTCTTGAACGCCCGCCTCACTGTAGCAGTGTCTAAACAGAGTGCAATGTCCTCATTGTCTACATGTGGTCTGATGACGTGTGGTGTTGTTTGCATCAAACAGGAAGAAAAGGTGTTGAGCTCATCTTGAAATGATGCGCTGGTCAGCTCCACAGGCCTGTTCCTTCTCTTGTAGTCAATGATGCAGTCTAGTTCATGCCACACGCACCTCAGGTTGTTGCTCTGTTGGGCAGATTCCACACACTTCGTGTATTACTCTGAGAGGTCCTCACAGTCTTTCTGAGGTCGTACTTGGCTGCTTTGTAGGCCTCAGGGTCTCCAGAATTAAAGGCAGCGGTGCGTGCTTTAAGGGTGCATTCACACCAGCTCTGTTTAGTCCGCTTTAGTCGAACTCGATTCTGTTTGCCTAGAAAGTCTGGTTTGTTTGAGGAGGTGTGAATGCGCCATCGAACTCTGAAGGCGAACTCTGGTCCACCTATAAACCTAGGTCTCGGTCTGGTGGAAGTAAAACTCTGGCATGGTTCGAATGCAGTGTGAATGCATGTGGACCAGAGACCGCTCCAAAAGTGGGAATTGGGCTACAGCACAGGACAAACAAACGCACATTTCTCTTACCTCATACTTGAGCCCTAGTCAGCCGCCTTGTGTGAAAATCAACATTCTCCATGGTCTTCTGCCTCATCTTCTCCCCCGCTGAGTCCATTGTTGAAAAATGACAAAACAGAACTCCTAAAACCGCTAAAATATGACGCCACTACGTTTTTGTTTTTATTTCCAGAAGAAGAAGAATAAGTGTCTTCAGAGGTTTTTGTGTTGTTTCCTTCAGTAGTTCTTGGTGCAGCGCCACCACATGTGACGGGGGGTGGGGGGAACAGGTTGACTGACTCAGTGCAGTGTGAATGCAAACCATGTCCGCTGAAATGTAAACAAATGTTATGAATATTGGTCTACAACCGAACCGAGTCTGCCGGACTATCAGGTGTGAAAACAACCTAAATGTAGCACAAACCCCTGGCCCAACTAATGGTTTCTGGTTAAAGTATGGATGGAGGTACAACATCATGTTTACACTTCCCTATGCACAACAGAGTCTGTGTACGTGTTCACGTCTCCTCCAGCCGAGTCTACAAACATCTGCCAATCGGTCGTTTCAAAGCAGTTCTGCAGAGCCGCATCAGCCACGTTGTCCCACTTGTCCACTTCTCAGTCAGTGAGGTTAATAAACTGTTAAAATCTCTTGATCCTAACAAATCTGCAGGTCCAGATGAACTTCCACCTTATTTCTTAAGGCTGGCCACTCATATCATCACAGTCCCAGTGACCCACATCTTCAATCTCTCCATAACACAAAACTCCATTCCAGACACTTGAAAACAGCCTTTGTTCTTCCTTTGCTGAAGGGAGGAGACCCCACCTCACTGAACAACTATGGACCAATCTCTAAACTCTGCACTTTAGCCAAGGTTCTAGAAAAACTGATAAACTCTCAAATCAAAAATTACCTGGCCTCATTTAACATCTTACCTCCCCATCAATCTGGTTTCAGGAAACAACACAGCACAACCACTGCTTCACTGAAGGTTCTTAATGACGTTGTTGAAGCACTGGATGCTACGGATTATTGTGCTGCACTTTTATTAGACCTGTCTAAAGATTCTGACACTGTGGATCAGAACATCTTGTGTCATAAGATCTCAGAAAATGGTTTCTCAGAACACACCATTGGTTGGTTCTCTAACTATCTCTCAGACCGAAGGCAATGTGTTCAACATAATGGTACTTCCTCCAGTTATTTAACAGTCAACAATGGTGTACCACAAGGCTCAGTCTTAGGACCCACCCTCTTTACAATCTACATACATAATGTAGGTAAAAACATCCCTAATGCATCCATACATTTCTACGCTGATGACAGTTGTTTATTGTCGAGCTAAAACTGTTGATAAGGCTTTCCAGCTTTTGAAATCTGCATTCAACAACATTCAGACAGATTTGTTCCGCCTCAAACTTGTCCTAAATGCCGACAAAACCAAAGGGATGCTTTTTTCAAATAGGAAGTTGGTCCCAGCAGTTCTTCCTCAGATTTTATCCTCAAATGGTGTCCCCATTGAGTTTGTTGATTCCTATAAATATTTGGGTATCTTGGTCAACTCGCATCTCTCTTTTAAGCTCCATGTGGAAAACTTGATAAAGAAACTGAAAGTTAAACTGGGTTTCTTTTTCAGAAACAGATCCCTGAATGTTAGGAAACACCTTGTATCTGTGACTTTCCTTCCCTCCATTGATTATGGTGACATTATTTACATGAACGCTCCTACAAGAACCTACAGATGTTGGATGCTGTCTATCATGGTGCACTAAGATTCGTAACTGGCTGTGATTATCGTACCCACCACTGCACCCAGTATCCACTGGTTAACTGGTCACCATTAACTTCACGCAGACTCTCCCACTGGTACATTTTCATCTTTAAATCACTTCTTGGTCTGCTGCCTTCATGCATCTTCTCCTACATGTCTCTGTGTGAGTGCAGCTACAGCGTGCGCTCTCAGGACATTATTACCTGCAGTGTTCCCTCAGTGAGGACTGAACTAGACAAAAGGACCTTCTCCTACTCTGCTCCTGTTTCCTGGAATATCTTACAAAAACATTTGAAGCTCTCGACCTTGACCTCTCTATGTGGCTTTAAGAATCTGTTGGACTCTTGGAAGGGACCATTGCAGACATGTTCCTGTTTTTAGTTTTCTACATTTGCCTTAGAATCTAGCTGTTTTTGTTACTTTTTTTAGACATCCTATTTGTAAAAAAAAAACCAAAAAAACTATTGTATGACTTTTTACAACTGTTTATTGTTACTCGTGTTTTTTCTTTTCTTTGCATTTTTACCTTCAGTATGTTCTCTGTCAAAGCTACTAGCGTACGATCTCCAGACACTTTTAAATATTAGAGACTTTATGCAGAACTTATCAACTAACTTTGGCAAACGTTCTCAGCTTCCACCACCGCCGCCGCACCTTGCCTCGGTGCCTACCTGTTTATGGCGTTCTCTCGCCACGCTGCCTTCCAGGAGCCGACGACAACGTGGAAGGAGAAGCGGACTTCATGTCAAACTCAGGATACGGGATTTTAACTTCCACGGCTTTCACAACCAGCTAACAAGGGATTGCTATCGTTGGCTCTGGCCGGTTGTCCCGGACGACAGCTGCCCACGCCCCCTCTACCGGCTCGTTGGGACCCGCACCCGGGGCTGCGTTCAGGAGAACCTCCGTCCGCTTGACCGTGGATGTCAGCAAACTGTTAGTAACTCCGTTCGTTTGGCACTGATTAACATCAGATCACTAACTAACAAAACATTTATCATGAATGACTTTTTCTCCTCTCACACACTGGATTTTCTTTTGTTGATGGAGATGTGGATGAAACCAGATGAGAACAGTGCCTTCTCGGAGCTCCTCCCACCTGGCTGCTCCTTCCTCAGCTCCCCCCGTCTCACGGGTCGTGGTGGGGGCATTGCCTCAGTTTTTAGAGACAATTTCAAATGTAGACTTCTACCTACCAGAACATATTCTTCTTTTGAGTTACAGCTGTTTCGTGGCTGAGCTGACACAGCCTGTATTATTTGCAATTGTCTACCGCCCACCTAAATATAATAAGGACTTTATTCAACAATTTTCTGAATTTTTATCTGACTCCATCCCCAGATTTGATAATCTGTTGATCTGTGGAGATTTTAATATTCATGTTTGCTGCCCGTCTGATCAGTTAGCCTCTGATTTTATCAATCTTTTAACATCTTTTAACTTAACACAGTCTGTACATGGGTCTACTCATCTTCTTGGACATACTTTGGACCTTATTATATCTCATGGGCTGTCCATCTCACTCTGTGAAACATCTGAAACAGCCATCTCAGATCATTTCCCCATCATGTTGGAGTTTTCAGCCCCCCTACCAGTCAGCAGGCCTGCTGTTGCGGGTCATTGGCATTGTATTTTTACTCCTGAGACAGCTGGACTGTTTACCGCTGCTTTTATGGACTTTCAGACTTTTTTTTCCAATGAACTTTGTCCAGATGGCTTCCTTCTCTCTTTCCAAACCACTTGCTCTGAAATTTTAGACTCCATCGCTCCTCTTCGGTTTAAATCCACCAAACCGAGAGCTGAACCGTGGTTAAATGACGCCTCTCGTGCTCTCAGGAAAACATGTAGGAAAGCAGAACGACAATGGAAGAAAGACAAACTTCTTTCATCTCTTAAATTTTTGAGAGAATGCCGTACAAACTACCAGAGATCTGTAAAAGAGGCAAAATGTTTATATTTATCTGGTTTAATTTCAAATAACTGCCATTGTCCTAGAGTGTTATTTAACACAATTAATTCTGTTATTAATCCAGCTGTGCGTATTTCACCAGATGCCACAGCCACTAACTGTGAAAACTTTCTAAAATTCTTCCAGGATAAAGTGGCCTCAGTCAGACAGGTCACTGGTTCTGTTGTTCCTGACTCCTCTGTTGCCTCTGTAGCTCCAGTCGTGTTTGAACACTTTCAACCAGTGTCTCTTGCCACTCTCACTGATGTTGCTCAACACATGAAGCTCACTAATTGCCCACTGGACGTTCTTCCCTCCAAGTTTTTGAAAGAGGTTTTTAATTCTGTGGGTTTCTGTATTTTAACATTTTTAAACTCCTGCCTTCGTCTAGGAATTGTCCCTGCTGCATTTAAACATGCTGTTGTTAGGCCCCTTCTTAAAAAACCTCACCTAGACCCATCACTTTTATCAAATTTTAGATCTATTTCTCATCTGCCTTTTTTAGCTAAAATCTTAGAAAAAGTTGTTTTATGCAGTTACAACCTGTTTTAGAAAACCATGGTATCTATGAAACATTTCAGTCTGGATTTAGAACCCGTCATTCTACCGAATCAGCCCTGTTAAAAGTCCATAATGACATTTCCATGATAGCCAAACATAATTTTTCTTTTCACTGCTATGCTGATGATGTACAAATTTATTTACCAATGAAACCTAAAAACAGTAACCTTCTCACACCTTTCGCTGATTGTATTGCCGACATTAAACAGTGGCTTCATCTTAATTTTTTGTTTTTAAACGAAGGAAAGACAGAATGCATTTTCTTTGGTGATGATGCTCCCTGTAACTTTGGTGCTCTGACATCCAAGTTCAGACCCACAGTTAAAAACTTGGGGGGTGACATTTGACAAGGACTTAAAGTTTGATAAACAAATATCCTCTGTAGTCAAGACCTGTTTTTATCAGTTACGTCTTTTATCCAAAGTTAAGCCTTTTTTAAATCGTTCTGACTTGGAAAAGGCCATCCATGCTTTTATAACTTCAAGGCTCGACTACTGCAATTCCCTATATGCAGGAATCTCCCAATCCTCCATTAGACGCCTGCAATTGGTCCAAAATGCTGCAGCTCGACTTTTAACCAACACCTCCAGACGTGAGCACATCACCCCTGTTTTATTTTCTCTCCACTGGCTTCCAGTCGATTTTAGAATTAAATTAAAAATTTTATTATTCACTTTTAAAGCTCTCAATGGTCTTGCCCCACTGTATTTGACTGATCTTGTAGCTGTCCGTGAATATAGGAGAACACTGAGATCATCTAATACATTTCTACTCTCTGTCCCAAAGTCCAACTACAAACGATGGGGTGACCGGGCCTTTTCGGTCGTTGCACCCAGACTCTGGAACCAGCTACCTCAGGACCTGCGCACCATCACTGACATGGAGCATTTTAAATCTAATCTTAAAACCTTTTTATTCAGGCAGGCTTTTAATACCTAGTAGGGCTTTGACAATTTTGCTATGTTTTAATTGTAATTGTTTTTGTTTCTAACTGACTGATTTTTTATTCTTGTTTGTTTTTAATTTCTGTACTGTGCAGCACTTTGTGCACCTTTTGGCTGCTGGAAAGGGCTCTATAAATAAAGTTTGATTGATTGATTGATTGTCCATTGTTGTCATCATTCTTTGTTAAATCAGGTCTCTCTTGTAAATGAGTCCTTGAGGCTCAATGGGATTTACCTGTAGAAATAAAGGTTGAATGAATGAAAAAAAAATGTCCCTGAGAGCTGGTTTGTCCTGTTTGAGCCTTTGTTTCAGAAACACACACACTTGCACACACTCGCACACACTACTCTGTTTCTTTGAAGACATGTTGGCAGAAAACCACAAAGATAATACAGTGTGTGTGTGTGTGTGTATATGTGTGTGTTCGTACATACGTGTGCATGTATGTGCCTGAGGTGAGGCAGCCTGCAATCATCACCTTGCTGTGATGAAAGCAGCCTGTTCTTCATTAGCATATACGAGAAGTGTGGAGGGGAGAGGAGGGAGACACATGAGAGTATAACAGTTGGTATTTGTGTGTGTGTGTGTGCGTGGGTGCGTGCGTGCGTGCGTGTGTGTGTGTGTGTGTGTGGTGGGGGGGACAAAACAGTAAAGTACTAAATGCTGTGATTAGTACAGCAAACTACTGCATGTTTCACTGCAGCATCCTCACTGTTGCCATGGTTACCTGGAGCTTCAGTGGCAAACAAGAGATTCACCTGACAGCCAATCAGAGGTTAGGACCCAGTGGTTCAGGTTTGGTCCTGGGAGAGATTCTGAAGGAGGCTTCAATGCTTTTAGGCCAGTTATCTGGACCGCTGGTTCTACTGGCTTGTTGTCCGAACTGATTGTTTAAATACCTGATCATTGATCTAAATCAGTGGTTTCCAACCTATTTTCCTCAAAGACCCCCGTGCCAATCTGAGCCCCCCAATCCCTCGCTATTTCCCTCTCCCAAAAGACTCATTCAAATCAATCTCTTTATCAAAGTGATAAAAGAATAAAGTACATATTATAAGTACAAACCGGATGCCAAAAAAGTTGGGACACTAAACAAATTGTGAATAAAAACTGAATGCAACGATGTGGAGATGGCAAATGTCAATATTTTATTCGTAATATAACATAGATGACAGATCAAAAGTTTAATCTGAGTAAATGTAACATTTTAAAGGAAAAATATGTTGATTCAAAATTTCACAGCGTCAACAAATCCCCAAAAAGTTGGGAAAAGTAGCAATAAGTGGCTGGAAAAAGGAAATTGATCATATAACGAACAGCTGGAAGACCAATTAACACTAATTAGGTCAATTGACAACATGATTGGGTATAAAAAGAGCTTCTCAGAGTGTCAGTGTCTCTCAGAAGCCAAGATGGTAAGAGGATCACCAATTCCACCATTGTTGCACAGAAAGATAGTGCACCAATACCAGAATGGTGTTACCCAGCGTAAAATAGCAAAGACTTTTAAGTTATCATCATCAACCGTGCATAACATCATCAAAAGATTCAGAGAATCTGGAACAATCGCTGTGCGTAAGGGTCAAGGCCGTAAAACTCTACTGGATGCTCGTGATCTCCGGGCCCTTAAACGTCACTGCACCTCAAACAGGAATGCCACTGTCAAGGAAATAACAGAATGGGCTCAGGAATACTTCCAGAAAGCATCGTCAGTGAACACAATCCACCGTGCCATCCGCCGTTGCCAGCTGAAACTCTACAGTGCAAAGAGGAAGCCATTTCTAAGCAAGCTCCACAAGCTCAGACGTTTGCACTGGGCCAGGGGTCATTTAAAATGGAGTGTGGCAAAAGGGAAGACTGTTCTGTGGTCAGATGAGTCACGATTTGAAGTTCTTTATGGAACACTGGGACGCCATGTCATCCGGACCAGAGAGGACAAGGATAGCCCAAGTTGTTATCAACGCTCCGTTCAGAAGCCTGCATCACTGATGGTATGGGGTTGCATGAGGGCTTGTGGCATGGGCAGCTTGCATGTCTGGAAAGGCACCATTAATGCAGAGAACTATGTTCAGGTTCTAGAACAACATATGCTCCCATCTAGACGTCATCTCTTTCAGGGAAGACCCTGCATTTTTCAACACGATAATGCCAGACCACATTCTGCAGCAATCACAGCATCATGGCTACGTAGGAGAAGGATCCGGGTACTGAAATGGCCAGCCTGCAGTCCAGATCTTTCACCTATAGAGAACATTTGGAGCATCATAAAGAGGAAGGTGCCACAAAGAAGGCCCAAGACGATTGAACAGTTAGAGGCCTGTATTAGACATGAATGGGAGAGCATTCCTATTTCTAAACTGGAGAAACTGGTCTCCTCTGTCCCCAGATGTCTGTTGAGGGTTGTAAGAAAAAGGGGGGATGCCACACAGTGGGAAAAATGGACTTGTCCCAACTTTTTTGGGATTGTTCATGCCATGAAATTTGGAAACAGATTTTTCCCTTAAAATTATACATTCTCTCAGTATATACATACTATGTATGTATATATGTATATTTATATATATGTATGTATATATATGTATATGTATATATGTACGTATATATGTATGTATATATGTATCTGTATATGTGTATGTATATATGTATATGAATATATGTATATGTATATATGTATGTATATATGTATATTTATATATGTATGTATATATGT